ATTAATAATTGTGATATGAAGATGAATTATTAATAATCATAATTCGTTTTTAGGTCATACAAATCTAAGATAAGAAAACGAATATTTAAAATAACAATGCCATCTTCGTCGGGTGCTATTAAAAAAGAGGAAGATGAAGCAGATGGACCGAAAATACAAGGAAAACCACGTCCTTTAAAGAACATGCAGTTTGTTATATTAGGTCGTACACAGAAAGATAAAGAGGAATTGAAAAGGGAAATTTTATTGTTGGGTGGTACTGTTACAACAAAAATCCATCAAGATTTGGCTGCTGTAATTTCGAATCAAAATGAAGTAGATAAGATGAATAAAAGAATGGAAGATGTTAAATCACACGACATTCAAGTAATAACGGAAGATTTTATAGAAGAAGCAAAAGAGTACACAGATTCTCCCATCATGCTGTTAAAAAAGAAAACTATTTCTAGCTGGGGTGGCGATATTAATGCTAGACTTTCTAACGTTATTGCAAAATCTGCTTCTAAGAGTAAGAGCAAATTTGAAAAGTCGGGTTCTGGTAAAATGAAGGTAAAGGTGAAAGGCGGTGGAGCTGTCGATCCCGATAGCGGTTTAGAAGATGTTGCGCATATTTATCAAAAAGGCAAAGATAAATACACTGTGACGTTAGGTCTAACGAACATACAGTCAAAGAAAAATAGTTATTACAAGATGCAAATTTTGAAACATGACAAACATGAGAGATATCATTTATTTAGAAGTTGGGGCCGGATTGGCACTACAATTGGTGGTAACAAGTTGGACGGAATATCTTTGGAAGAGTGTATAGAACAGTTTGAATCGTTGTATGAAGAGAAGACAGGTAATCAGTGGAAGAATAGAGAACATTTTGTCAAAGTACCGAATTTGATGTATCCGATCGATATAGATCATGGGGATCAGGAGGTTGTTTCCTTAGATTCAGATATTAAGAGTAACTTGCAGAAACCAATTCAGGATCTGATACGTCTTATTTTTGACGTAGCTGAGATGAAAAAAGTTATGCTGGAGTTCGAGATAGATTTGGATAAGATGCCGCTTGGAAAATTGTCTAAGAAACAAATTGAGAAAGCTTATGCCGTTTTAACGGAGTTGCAAGAAGTGTTAAAGATAACGACTGATGACGTGGATCGTACTACGTTGGTCGATGCTTCCAATAGATTCTATACACTGATACCACACAATTTTGGAGTTTCCGGACCAAAAATTCTTGGATCATTGGAAGAAATCAAGACCAAGTGCGATATGCTAGATGCACTGCTTGAGATGGAGGTCGCGTACAATCTTTTATGTGATAAGACTAACGAAAAGGAGAATCCACTCGACAATCATTATAAGCAGTTGAAGACTGACATCGAAGTGATGGATAAGACAAGCGAAGAGTTTAAGATGATCGAGAAGTATGTCAAGAATACTCATGCGGCTACTCATACGCAGTATGAACTCGAAATCAAGGAAGTGTTTATTATTAAGAGACAGGGAGAAGAACAGAGGTTCAAGCCTTTCAAGAAATTGCCCAACAGAAAGTTGCTCTGGCACGGATCCAGAACTACGAATTACGCAGGAATACTGTCTCAAGGTTTGCGTATCGCACCGCCGGAAGCGCCCATTACCGGTTACATGTTTGGCAAGGGTATATATTTCGCCGATATGGTGTCGAAGTCTGCAAATTATTGTTGTACACACAGCCAGAATCCAACTGGTTTGTTACTGCTTTGCGAAGTTGCTTTGGGTAATATGTACGAGAGATATAAAGCGGACTACATTGAGAAGCTACCGAAAGGAAAACATTCGACGATGGGTCATGGCCAGACGCAACCTGATCCGCAAACTGTCTACAAGACCAAGGATGGTGTTGAAGTACCTTATGGAAAGGGAGTACCTGCTAAACTTAATGGTACTTCGGCATTATTATACAATGAATACATCGTGTACGATGTCGCTCAGGTGAAAGTACGATATTTAATAAAAATGAATTTCAAATACAAATATTAAGATACATGATGCAAATGTGATGTTCAAGTTCATAGTACAGTTAAGATTTTTAATTTCATTCCATTTTATTTGCTATGTTATTAATTTAATAAAAATAAAAACTAAATAACTATAAGAAAGATAAATACTAAATTCTATCGAAGAGTTTGCTAATATTATAACTGGTAAACTTCATAAAACTGTTTTACCTTTAATGATAATCTTTTGAATTCATATGTTGTAATTGTCCGCAATTTGTTTACGTGCACCAAATAGTGTTTGCCTACCTCGAATACTGAATGTAAGGTCAATAAATTTTTCACAAAAATCAAATATTTTTTGTTCTTTACTTTGAATATACATTTCCTTACCTGATCTTCCTTTGTATCAATATTGTTAAATCGTCAAATAAATTATAAACAATTTAATAAGATTTTAAAATAAATATAAAATTTGGAAGATAATTCGATTTATTTTTTCTATAATATATTGCGAATTCTCTTGTGAATTCTCAAGATTGAGATTTTAATACTGTAATTCATTTAAGTCTATTGCGTACTTCAGATAGTATACAGGATTTTGCCTGTACCGCAAAAAATGCGGTAGAGACGAAAAACCGAGCGGAAAACTTTCTTACATATTTTTATTGAGATGGATCTTACGCAAAACAAAATACATAAAAACAGGATATATTTCATCCACTAATAAACAGTCGATCGTGTTACGTAAAGTGTTTTCTGCTAATTATTCTACTAAACATTAAATCTCATTTTACGCTAAACATTCAAACATCGAATGCAGTCAGTATGTGTGCGTAGGGTTGCAAAATTAAAAAAAATTTTGAGAACAAAAATTAAAGAGCATTGGATGCCGAATCCATTCATGTACAATATAATAATGTTATGGTTCCACGATTCAATATTTCAGAAATCAAGATGATAGTCGTGTTATATACAGGGTGTTTCCAAATTAAATCGCAAAACTTCGGGAGCGTGTAGAGGAGTAAAAAACTAAGAAAAAAAGTCCTATAGACATATGCTCGTTTTTGCTCCGTTTCAGAGAAATCGAAAAAAAATGTTTACATTTCTTGCCATATCTAGCACCGACATATTTGATTACATTTTCCACTTTCTGTTATGAATTTGTCAGTCGCTCTTTGAAAGCCTTTAACAGTAGATGAATTTTGTCTTTTGCAATATGCCGCGTACGTATTCTAATAGTGAATATGCTGATATGGTTTTTGTATACGGTTTCTGCAACGGTAATGCTTTAAAGGCGGTGCGAGAATATGCACGACGATTTCCAAACAGAAGAGTGCCAAACCGAAGAGTGTTTATGTTGACATTTAATAGATTGCGAGAGACTGGATCATTTTCAATTCGACAAGAAAACAACCGATTTCAAGCAGCGTTACGAAGAGATTTGCAGGCAGGGAA